TGCCATAAAGGTGAAGTCAAAGTGACTGAAGAAGTTGATCATGACGAAGTGGAACCAGGTATAGAATATGCAGTACATGTAGTGCTAAAAGGGGACCCAAGCATAAAGGATGCCCACCTTATGAAGAGTTGCCTGAGAATGTGTCAGAGTTTGTGAAAGTGTTATCGGAAAGGATGGATTATATTCACCATTAAGTGCGTTCAAACTTGAAAACGTCTGCTGATTCGATAAAGCTATCTTATGATAAGAGATCTACTGAAGTCAGCTTTGAACCAGGAGACAAGGTGTGGTTGTATAATCCCAGGAAGACCAAAGGGAAGTTTCCTAAGTTGTCTTCTCCATGGGAAGGCCCATATGACATAGTGGATCGTCTCTCAGACGTGACTTTCTGAATCAATTGTGGTCGGCGAGGAAAGCCAAAAGTGGTGCATGCCAACAGGCTTTGGCGTTATCATGGTCCAGGACATTTCAGTTGGGACGAAGTGAACAAAGGAACAAATGACGCTGCTGAAGAAGTGTTACCTGAAAAAGCCACTGTCGAAGAACAAACTCTACTCAGTTTTGAGAAGGGAAATGTTGAAGCTCTTGATGAAGTTACTACCACTCATGTGACTGTTATCGACGATAGGACATTTCCTGACGAAGCAAATGAACCCCATATGAAGCTAAAGCCAACAAGACAGAGACCAGTACGGAAGAAGATACGTCCGTAAAATTAAAAGACTTTGTTGAATTGTAATTTTGTGTTTGTAATTCTGTACATTTAATTAAGTTATTGTTAATTGTTATTGGTTTAATGTAAGATGCTATTGTTCGGGACGAACAATACTAAGGAAGGGGCAGTGTTACGACAATGCAAGTCACGTGACGCTTGTATCACGCCACTTCCTTCTTGAACCTTCATGAAATGTCGGAAGACTACTAGATTGGGTTAGTCTTGTATATATAAGACCGGCCAAGAAGCAACGTGAGGTAATGTGTAATTGAACTGCGGAGAGAGAATATTGTTGAGCACGTGAGACGTTCGTTGTGAATTATAGCGTTTTTTATAGCGCGACTGTTGAAATTAAGTGTATCGTAAAGTTGTATTCAGAAAGAATAAACCAGTTTTATTTAAGAAAGGACTTGTATCGGTAAAGTTTCTTCGGAAAGAATTTTTACGGAAAATTAACAAACGAACGGAGGCGTAACAATACTTTAACACCAAACCACTATTATGTTACTAATTTCATAGAAGATATATTTGGAAATATTATATACTATTGTGTTATCAATGTCCATGAATGGATTTTAAAATCATGTTAACGATCGTATATCTGATCATTCGCCAAGCATTTGTCACCTTATTCCATAAAAATATAAATGCTCGTATATCGAATTACTTTTAAAACAACCTTTAGTTTAAATATATAATACAGGCTTTTTTAACATTAGTTTCACCAAAACAGGTTGGACAAATATTTCTTGTTTTGGTTTTCGTTGTTATTGTTCCTCAAGATCCAAATGTATGATACCTTCATATGCGAGTTCACAGTACCCATTTTATTGTACTCTACTTCTTCATGACGTATACTCGTTGTTTTTATTCCTGTTCAACATACAAATTAGTTTCTACCATTCATTTTTCCGTTAATAAAAAAATTGCCTTAATCCAAAAATTAAATAACGTTGGGTTTCATCTGCGCTAGTGGACCCTAATTTAGAAGTGATAGAGTAGAGGGAAGGTAGCTGGTCAACACCACCCTCCGCCAACTTTAAGACTAGCCTTTTTACGAACGAATAGTGTAAATGACAATAAAAGAGTAGCCCAAGAGTTGGCGGAGGGTGGTGTTGACCAGCTACCTTCCCTCTAGTCTTACACTGCTAAATTAGGGATGACTAGCGCAGATAGCCCTCGTGTAGCTTTGCGCGAAATTCGAAACAAACCAAATTATCTGAATATTCCAAATTGTTCTATTATGCATGTAGCATACTCAATCGTGTGTATTTATAAAAGATTGTTTTGCTGGCTAAAATTTCAATATAGAAAAAACAATGGTTTGTGGAGAAAAGAAGGACACTAAAGAACTGAAGTTGTCTACGGTCTTACTGTGGTCCTAGTTGAATTAAAGTTCCTCAGAGGCACATTGAGAAGTAAAAGTTCTGTTCATGAAGTTTGCACATGATTCAGACAATTTTAAAAACTCACGGAATGTGTGCAATGCGGTTTTTTTTCACGCGTTTAATAAATCAAAGGTTATCACCCCAAGTAATTTAACTGTTTGTGTGTGTGTGTTAGCGCAAAGCTATACTACAGGCTGGTTACCTGCTGGATCAATCATCGGAATTTAGGTATTTTGCGACCTGGGAGGGTCAGGTTCTAATAGACCTCCTGTACTATTGTTATCTTATATTCTTGGCTTTAGGTTTGATTGTTTGATATTCTATTACAACTTTCAATTGACAATTTACAAATGACTCTTTGTGCTTAATAACAAACAAACGCTTTTTGCTTTATTACGAAATCTCTAACATCTACTCAAATAGGTAACACGTGAAGGTTTTATAACGTAAATAACTTATTTTATATATATAATTTAGCTTTTTTCTTATAAAGTGTTATACTTGAGCCTCTTAACTTCCCCCCTGGGTCCAAAGTACAGCTTTGTCCAGCTGTCATGTAAGTATTCCAAACTATCACCTACCCACTGGTAAAATAATATAAATAACTGTTAAAGCTCATTTACCATCTCACTCTTGATGTACAGTTAAGAGTAATATGAATATTTTACAGTTTACGTAAGACACCAATGAACAAGAAGAAAGATGGGTTCTGTTATATGTTGGCTTACAAAATTTGCCTAAAACTGTACCATAGTTACTTAAACATGTGAGCCATTATATAAACACTCGAACAGAGATTGGCTGGCTATCCTTTACAACAGTTCACTGTAGGATAAGCAAGATTTCATCTATTTACTGAAAAGAAAAACATGAATACATTCTAGGTTCAACAACATTCATATCTTGTAGAAAAACCTTGTGACTGGAGTATCAGTGTAGACTGTCTGCCAGTTCGAAAGCCTTGAACCATTAAAGTAGGCAAACTATTGCACATACACAGAAAATATTCATATTTTCCAATGCTTAACACTTGTAAGCCTTTTGAAACTTAACGTACACAATACTATGCCGTTAACCAATATAAAATAATAATTCAAGTACTAAATTTGTACTTTTTATTGAAATAATTCAAGGAAGAAACAAGTATATGTCTCTTTAGTCCAACAATATATATATATTTTGTCTATTTACTCTAAGATGAGAAGCCATCTGTTGGGTTTTTAATTAATTATTATGAGGATAACAAGAACTGGTTTTGCATGTTGTGAACTACATTTTAAACACATTATGTAAGATTTCAAGTTTGGAAAAATTCACACTTAAACATTTCATAAACCCATAAACCTTTGTCTGATTATTCTTTAGAAAACCCGAATATTACACTGTATCAAATAATTTCTCTTGTTACATCCTTTTGAGCAAAGTTAACAAGTACAAGAAGACTAGTATACAGACTGTACATTTTATTTACAGATTGCTAACTTACATTTTTACCTAGCATCTACAATAATATAGGAGAAAGTTTATCCCTGTTTATAGAACATTTGGCACCAAAAATATGTTAGTAAAGCTCTTACAGACTAATTAATCAGTATTTGGTTTTACAGTAGACAATTATTTAACAAAATAGAAAACATCCTTACAAAAAGAGACTGTTTTCTTTCATAACAATCCATAAATAACATTTAGTTCCAACAGAAGCTTGAGAATTGTGAGGTTTTATTTTAATCTAGATAAAAAAAAACAATATTAAAAGCTACCCAACTGGTTTTGAGAATTCTAAAATAGCTAACCAAATGAAGGTCAAGCACTCTTAAGAAATATTTTTAAATTGAATTAGATGAAAGATCAAAGTATTACAATATCCTTCCTAATTATATGAAAGATCAAAGTATTACAATATCCCTCCTAATTATATGAAAGATCAAAGTATTACAATATCCTTCCTAATTATATGAAAGATCAAAGTATTACAATATCCTTCCTAATTAGATGAGAGATTAAAGTAGTACAATATCTTTCCTAATTAGATGAAAGATCAAAGTATTACAATATCCTTCCTAATTATATGAAAGATCAAAGTATTACAATATCCTTCCTAATTAGATGAAAGATCAAAGTATTACAATATCCTTCCTAATTAGATGAAAGATCAAAGTATTACAATATCTTTCCTAATTAGATGAAAGATCAAAGTATTAAAATATCCTTCCTAATTAGATGAATCATTTACTGTTATGATCAACTTATTCCATCTTCCTTTGTGCATAAATATTTAACATTTTGTAGATTTGTTTCTAGAAAGATCTTAAAATAAAAATCCACAAATTTATGCTTTTACTTAACTTACAACTAACTCTGACATTACAACTGGACAGAACATGCAGTCCAATGTTGTTGTTTTTCAGGGATCTGAAAGTAAGTAAACTGGGTATAATGATATTCAATGAACACTTTGTCACGGGGCACCTGGAAATCTTTTTATATTTTTTACACAAAAACACATTAAAATTATAAAAGGCAACTTCACTTTAGAAAAACTCGTTCTGATAGATTTAGTGTAAGGTGATGTAAGGTTCCCAAAAGGCTGGCATTCCACTAGTCTAATGGTGGATATACAGAAACCTGAAAAATCTTATTTTTCACAATGTCTTAACCCTTGTTGAAGAGTGAAAAGATAGCTGCATAGCTTGGTCACTTGACTGCCCTGGCAGGTTAGAGGTCACTTAACTAGTCCAAATATTTGACAATAAAATGACAAAGGAAACTGATACCAGCAGATCTGCAACAAAACTGGATGGATAAGAGCCATTTCTTTTATTTCATTAGTTGTATCAGCCTGTTATGATAATATGAACTCTAAAAACATGAGTGTCACACATGAATATGAACTGACATAGGTAGTTGAAAAGCCAACCAACTTTCCATAGTTTCTGAGTTTCCTTCAGATTTCTCTGTTAAGAAAAATATATCTGAAATGGCCTATTTTTCCATTGTTAAATTATGATTTTGGGTAATTATACTCAAACTTTTTTTTTTATATTGTTTGACTTGTCTCAATAAAAATACACAAACTGAAAAAGATGAAATGGCAAACTACTTGAGGGCACGACTGTACAATCAGCTGTCACTGACTTGTGAACTTCTTATTTGAACATATACCTGAGCAGAATGAACTTTGTCAATGATGGTGCTTCAATTAAAGGCTAAAAAAGACAAAAGTAAAACACTTGAATCAATAATTGCAACACAACATATAAGAGAGCAGTTAAATGTTTTTTTAAGTCAGTGTGTGTGAGTGTATATATATATATAAAACACATCAATACTTTTCTTTAAAGATGCACAAAGGTACAGATAACCAGGGAAAACAGTCTGCTGTCACCCACTACACATAACTGATGACATAGTTCCAAAACAAAGCATAGTAAATACTCCATAACAGAAGTCACTGATTTTCTCTACTTAGTTTCCTTAATTTACTACAAACAGAATCATAAATGTAGAAACCTGAATGCATAGAAGTACATGTGTACATGCAGTATAAACTAACTAGACTTTATAATCAAGGTGTGATTTCACACTTTTTGGGTGTGATGTACTGCTACATCCAAAAAGTATGAATTCATACCCTTCATCAGAAAAATGATTTTATACCCACAACAGAATATGTAATATTGAATAGTAATATTTTAAAGAAACCATACACAATACAAAAAAGGTTCGTTTGTAAATTTATATACTGTTATCCTAAAATTATTTTAATATTAACAGTTGTTTTTCCTAACACATAGCACTTGTAACATGACTCCATTCTGATTATAAATTAACACCTTTATACACAAAGCAGGAGCGTGAATTATTTTTATTTGTTCAAAAGTTACACGTTAAAGGTGTAAATTCTCACTCTATCAACACAAGGAGATTCTCTGTCGAAACAATACCCCAATCAGACTTCCTTTTGCTTAGAGTGTAGATTATGGATACCTACACAGCAAACACTGGAATATAAGTGTACACTCACGAAGATTAGAAACTTAACCCATGTTACAGATACGTAAACAGCATAAAATATAAGATACAGTAGAAACTAAATAGGTGATAAATATCTGGAAAGCAGAATCTGGAAATAATATGAAGTTCTGATCAAAATGATAAGTTAACTATACCAATCAGAGCTACAAATAACTTGTAGATTAATTAATGAGGTCATTTTTATATAAGAAACTGGATAAAAGTAATTAATGCCATAAATATATACATAACAAAACCAGGTTAAAACCTATGATTAAAAGTAGTGAATCATCATTTGGCATTCCCACTGTTACTAAAATTTTTGTTTCCAATAGTATTACATGAGGTTTGTGCCAACTCAAGTATTGTAGGTGTTTTTAATCCATACACTATGCTAATGCTATAAAATATAATTACACTAACACCTATTTAAAGAATTACACGGATGTATAATGTGTAGATACACTTTACAATAATTAAGTAATAGACACTTATATAGCATAAAATAAACTACATATATGCACAAATTAAACAAATGATAAAAGAACTAGTAGAGAAACTGATATATATATATACGTAAAAAAGCAGAAAGCAGCTAAGTGACATGCATCTACACAGTAGAAATTGGATTATTTTATGTTGTCTACACACACACACTCAACAGAAGATAACTAAATGATAGAAAGCCACAGAGAGGGGAAATCAAATCTGTATACAGAAAAAGCATACACAGACTAAATGATAGATAATACATAGTATAAACTGGAAAAATATAAATAAATATATATATATATATATATATATGCATACAATAGGTACTAGTGGTGACGAATACCCAGAGAAGAGAAATTGGATTGCATATGTACACACATTGTCAAAATTAGCCATGTGATGAGTATCAATGGTTAAGAAACTCGAAGGTATGTATGCACACATACATAGTGATATCAAAATAGGTGACAAGTATCTACAGTAGAGAAATTTGTTTAAATATGTATACAAAATATAAAAACAAGCAAGAATGCAGATACCATTATAAATTGAAGAACTGAAAATTTACATGTATGCACACATAGGAAAACATAACTATGTACCTACAGAGGAGAGGAAATGGATAATGTATGCATTCAAATAAAAGACAACTAAGTGATAATTACTAAATACTGTTTATTACAGGTACTGAAGAAATGTTGAAACAAATCAGAAGGTCGAAGCCAACAGAGCAGAAACTGGAATATATATATACACCCAGAGTAAAAGCTATTTGTATGATAGTTATAAATATGAAAATTAAAAATATCTGTATGATGTATCTACATATACGTACAGCAGCAACTAACAAGTTGGTAAATACCTACAGGTTACATAACACAAAGTGATTGATGTACATACATTTATTTATATAGTATGTACAAAGTTGCTAAGATATAAATAGCAGCATACGCATGAAGTCTAGTATTTTTCTTTCAATTTTCCTTGTCCAAGGTTATTGGTGAAGGGTGGAATACCTTGAAACCGGTATAACTCAGGAACATGTGGTGAATCGAATGACTGATTAGGCTTCATACATTTAATTTCCAATAGGACCAGTTGAATGATAAATAGACATTAAATGACAAATAATAAATAGCAAAATAAATCCCAATTATAATTTATATAGATACATATGTAAAATATATTTATTTATTAGATGTAATTTAATGTTTGATTTATAATTATATTATTAGCTCATCAAGTTTGCAGAGATGCATGCTATTTTAAGTCTAAAATAATGTTCATACAAAAAAATACAAGTATATCTAATCTAGTGAAGTTGTAATGTGTATTGTTTAAGTTAATGTGCAATAGACGAGAATATATATATTTAAAACAACATACTTGTTACAAACCCACTGCCTGACTCTGTTATTATAGCAGGAGTTTCATCTGCCTTGCCTATACTAGAGTCGATCCTCTAAATGGTTAGGAGCCACCTCCACAAATTTGTTTTTATGGGAAAGTTCTTCTAATTGGCATTGAGAACGATGATGTAAAGGGCCTATGACAGATTATATAAAAATATTCAATAATAAATTTATTGAACCTATCATAATCGACTTATCTAATTTATTTAGCAAAGGTGATATACACTTTACTAAGATAATACAACCATCACACAAGCCTTTAGCAAATAGTGAAATACAGAATAATCACAAAAATTACAATACAAGTTAATAATATAAAAACAACTGAAATTATATATGACTTATATAACTAATTTGACTTATCTAATTTATTTAGCAAAGGTGATATACACTTTACTAAGATAATACAACCATCACACAAGCCTTTAGCAAATAGTGAAATACAGAATAATCACAAAAATTACAATACAAGTTAATAATATAAAAACAACTGAAATTATATATGACTTATATAACTAATTTAGTAAAGATGATATACATGTTACTAAGATGATACAAGTCACCCCGAGCTACACATGGTTTTTCTACAACGTTGTTGAATAGTTGTGCGTTGGTAAAATTGACAACGTCATGCATTATATGTTGTGACAACGTTGTGGTACTGTTACAGGTTAATGGTGAATGCATATATATATATTAATGGATTTTACTAATGCACAACTATTCAGCAACGTTGTAGAAATGCCATGTGTTAGCTGAGCCAAGTCTTTAGGAAATACAGAATAATCACATAAATATATTATAATACAAGATGATAATATAAACAAAACTGAAATTATATAAATGAACAAAATGGAAGAGTGAAAAAAGGTGAAATTAGTAAATTGCTATATTAAAGTAAAACGCTCCTTATATTAAAACAGAATAAAATTATCATGACACGGAAAAGCTTTATGAAATAGGACTACTCATAAACTTATCAATCAGAATGTGAAGTCTCTATAGCAAAGATCAATCACTCTCATTATGTTCACCATTATAACAGGCCTAAATGTATGTATTTGATTAGCCAGCCCAAGCTGTGCTGATGAGCCTTGAATAGGCGAAACTGCAGTCCACAGCAGAGGATACAGCAAATCAAAGAATGCATTAGGCCTCTACGTCACATATTCTCTTTCAACTTAACTCTTGTGAAAAAGAAAAGAAATCATTAACATACATATATACATTCTTAAACTTATTGTGTTTGTCTTCGGCATGTAAAGTGAAAATACATCGCCAATATGATCTTACATGATTCAACTGTCTTTTCTTCAAATATGAATTCTCCTGACTGTATAGATTTCCGTGGAATATTCAATATTATCTTACACGATTCAACTGCTTTGTCTTCAAATATGAATTCTCCTGACTGTATAGATTTCCGTGGGATATTCATGCCATTAATATTACTCATATCCTTCCTCCTGAAGAGAGCATCAATATCTTCAAATGTTTTGTTCTTGGTTTCGGGAACCATTTTGTAGGTAAACGTCCAGAAAATTGCTAGTAGTGCAGTAAAGGGGAGAAAAGTGTAGCTTCCAAAACCATGCTGCAATATTAATAATAATAAGTTTCAAATTTAGTAATAAGAACACAGATCGATTGGTCATACATATATTTTGTCTAGTGGTAAGAAGAACTCTAAAATAAAATTCAAAATACGTTAAATGTTCCAGTAAATCCTGCATCCAATGAGTCAATAAGCATTATGCAAATAATATTGTAAATAACATTTATCACTGTGTAAATAATGTTGTACACAATAATAATTATTTTTTCTGTACGGAAGTAGTTTTTCTTATAATTTTTTCACTATAGCTTGAGACTGATAACTTAACAGGTTATCAACGTTGCCTCGTGAGATGAAACACTAAAAACGTTTTGTCATGACTACGAGAAAACAGCGTCTATAAGTACTTTCAGGTTTTTTTGACCAGGTAAAATAAAATCGTTTTACAATACTATGATTAAAACAACTTAAAAAAAAAGAAAATTTAATCGCCCCCCCCCCCCAGTAGCACAGCGGTATGTCTGCGGACTCACATCGCTAGAACCCGTGGTGGGCAGAGCACAGATAGCCCATTGTGCAGCTTTGTGCTTAATTGCAAACAAAAATTTAATAGAAAAAATTAATTTGGCCTCAAAATATTTCAAATTCATAATACATGAATTATTATGAGGTTACTTAGAGATTTAAGATCTGGAGGCTAATTAATTATAACTGAAGCATCAGAAGTATGTTACAAAAGAGTTTAAGATAGAAACTGAACATACGATTTTTCTTCTGTAAAATGGTTTAAAATCAAATTTTGCTAAAATACAATTAGGTATGTTTTCAAAATGTCTCTGAATTTTTCCCAGTAAACTGTATTATATACATATAAAAATCATGAGAAATAAATCATCATAAGAAAAAGCAGTTTATAGAAATGACTGGAAAATTTAGAGAAGTTCAAGCTCATATGCGGTATTTCTAAGTGAAACTGGTTTCACCCAAGAGTGACAAGATAGGCAAAATAACAGGAGATTCGAATGAGGTACTTATCACAGAGTAGCTCTCAAGTTCTTTGGAACCGAGTAAATTCAAGAAAAGGGAATAAAAGACTGGATACAGTATAAGACACGACGAACAATGTTTATCATTTTGAACACAAACATAGTGTATGCATGTTTACTTTCTTTGGATGCTGGACACTTAATTTCAATGAAACACAGCTATTCTTTCTCCAAAATGAGCTCTATGAAGATTTATACTACACTGATTTAACTTAGCATTGCTTACTTAACTTGGTAACGTCAGACTTACCTAGAGCAACTAGCGCTATTTACATGACTTTACCTTCCATTGAAATCCATGCACATTGTGCAGCTTTACAACCATAGGCAGACCAAATGTTATCTCAAGAGAATCGCAAAGAATAAAGAAAGCTGAAATGGATAAACTTAACTTTTTTAACTATGTGTTATGTGAAAACTGCATATACCCCGAATAACTACCTAGTTCTAAAAATACTAAATTCAATTAAGAAGGTGAGAGAACAAATAATAGATAGAATAAAAACAATGAAAATCTACCAGCATCATTGGAAAGACCAGGCCGACAACAAAGTTGGCAAACCAATTGACTAGCACTGTTATACTTATGGCAGCAGGCCGTGGTCCTTGTGAAAACAGCTCAGCAGTAATCATCCAAGGGATTGAGCCTACAACGAAAGAAATATACTGGTTAACGGAAGGAAACTTCCTGGCAATATCTATCTGAGTGGATAAAAACTGTTGAATGTAGAATTAACTATGAGAACAACACTATCATAAAAGACTGATACTACCTAAAAGAGGTGAATTATTCTTACGTGCAAAACATGTACTAGTTAATACTATAACGCTGTTTTGCTTCTTTTGTTTTCTTGTTCTTGTATTGCCTGTAATGATGGAATAAAGATATATGTATATTTTTCTGCACGTTTATCACAACATGAATGCTTGTTATATGAATATAGAATGCATGTGTTCTAGTTGAGTGAAATGTTTTTAAGCCATTTATCAAATGCTAAGTAAAAGTGTAAATACAACAATTGGATATATTTCTAAAGAATGATTGTACTTGAATAACAAATCTCAAGTACTATCTGTAACATAATGTTCGTGGGCTATATTTAGAAAATGCACTGGAGTGTTCAATGTAAAATACAACAAGGTTTATTAATAGTATCCATCTTATAGATGATTACTATAACAACAAGACATAATAACAACAAAGTTTCATGTTCTATACTCCGGAGCTCTCGTGTTTTTTAATACATTTAATAGGTGATGCCACCATACCACTATTAACTAATAGTAAATTTCTTCTCTGACCATCAACATTTCATGAAAAATACTCTTCCTTTGTTCTAATGGAAACCACAAGTTTACAGATTTTCATTGTAGTAACATGTAGTTTCATCCATCATTTTCGTCCTTTTCACAGCAAAGAAATATTTCCAAAAAGTGAATCTGGTATTTGGTATATGAACTAACCAACACACACACACACATTTAATCGTATTTTAAATTCATATTCAATAGTTAGTTTTGTATATATATATATAATATCACCTAACAGTAGTAATTTTTTAAGGTTTAAGTTAAAATCAATTTAAAGCAAGTACACGTCTTTTCTATTCGAGTTATTCTCACTCTCTCTCAAGAACTATATGACATTTGGTTTCGAATGTTCTTAAAGCAATGTATTGCACGTGCCACATTACCCAAAGTTCTCCATTCTCCAACAGTCCACGTGACTTATTGTGCAGACACCAGGTACACTGTAACATCACTAATTGTCGACTTTAGTAACATGAAATTCATATTTAAGGTTATCAGATAAATCACAGCAAATAAGACAGGTGAACAGTGACAGTCAGTTTGTTAATATCAAATAGTGTGATTCTTCATTTAGCTCAGATAATCTTTACCAAAACCCTCTGAATAATAATTCGGTGCATGTGAGAGGACAACAAGCAGACCCGTGGGGAAAGAAAAAAAAAGCAATAATCTGAATGAGAATCTGGGTCATTCAGAATCGGGGTAACACAAAAGGCTAGGTACAGTGTTTGTCATCCCTTACAAACTATATCTTAGGTAGGAAGGCTCTATCTGGACACCAGTAAAGAAAGTTATGACAAAATAAAAAGCGTGATGCACTGTGGGTATAGATACTTAAACGTCTCTTATACAATGTAAACAAGCGTAAAAAATGTCTTGAGGGATATATGACAAAGCAGACAAGGGTTTAAAGGATATAGAAGTTAAGAAATATGAGTAACGTGGAAAGTGAAGAGCCTATAACAACAGAAGTGGATAAACTATTAATATAAATAACCAAGACAGCTTAATATTCTTCAATATATTTTGTTCTCTTACAAAAATTTAGCATTGGAAAAAAATAACATCTGGTGCTTTATGAATAGATGGCCATAAACCAACGAATGGCTATATTAAACTTTCAATAATGTTAGTAAGGGAGTTATCTTTCAAAATAGCATAAAATGGCGATTTAATATAGTAGTGCTACCTATTCAATTTTTTTTTTTATTTAAAGATTTAAGTTAAAACGAAATCTACCTTACTAGAAATATTTCATATATGTGATAAAGTAAAATGAAATTGATAAGTGACACGTTATGTTTAGCTCTACATGTGTCAGTAAATTTAGTGATATTCAAGCCCTACTTTTTATAAGACTTATAATTTCTTGAAATTGCAATATAACTTTTAAAAAGTGTTAGTTCCATAAAGATTATATATTCATACTGACTGTATACACAGCCTACCAATAAGTAAAGAGACACCCACTTCAGGAGAAACGCCATTTTGTTAATAAAACAAATATCAAAAATAAAGAGTTCAAAATTACAGTTAGCATTTAGTAAATCAGCACTTTGCAATATTTAATGCATAAATATAATTACGCATCTTAGGTACAAGATATGAAGTCTGAGCCTATGGGGCTGTACCTGACACCTATGATCTGGGCATATGAGACTGTACCTCACAACTGTGATCTGGGCATATGGAACTGTACCTCACACCTATGATCTGGGCATATGGGACTGTACCTCACAACTGTGATCTGGGCATATGAGACTGTACCTCACACCTGTGATCTGGGCATATGAGACTGTACCTCACACCTGTGATCTTGAGCAGGAATGACCATCCTTTCACATGCCCTGCAACTGCAAATGTCAAGCTTCCCAAGTGGACTTCACTTCTGTGATCCTTTACAAGAATGGCCAATCCCTTCACTTGCCCTGCTGTTGCGATTGCTCAACTGACCAAGTGGGACATACCTTCACACCAGAACAGAAATAATTTCATATTTTACTTAATTGCAGATGGTTTGAGAGATTTAGTTCCAGGGAGGATAGTCATGAAGCCCATGTCCAAATCTGGGCTTGTCATAAAAACCTACAGCTTCTGAAAAGGCAAAGGAGCGTGGTAGCATTTCACATGTGATAACCACTGCTGTTGATGTACGATATTGCCTGGAATAAAGATTGGCTGCCGTCTAGACAACACGCGTGTCACTTTAATTCATGCTATGACGATAATTCATGATGTTATTGGAACACGTTTACACCTGCCCAACATTAACTGGCGTTTTATATGGGTCATTCTCACCATAAATCTCTTCTTACAAAATAACGTATCTGTGCTGCTCGTTTCAGGCAGCTACAAGTGACAGGAACTGCACTGTCATCATATTCACTATGAACCGCAGTACTAGAAGTAAACTGTTAATTTCTCACTGCCTTTGGCTTCTGCTCTCCTATCGAGACATCATGAAAATACGGTTGATTCCTGGGAACCTTTTCGTTCATGCATAGCTGCTTTTATTATGTGATATTTCCTAAAATATACTTGTATTTATGCATTGGTGATATTTGCACATGACGTTACGAAGATGATTGATTTATATTCTCTGGGGTGAATGTCTACGTACTTATGCATAACCTGCGTATTATAACTTACAATTATGCTTTACTACTTTTACAAGAACTTGTTTGTGTTAACTATATAAGAACTGTAATAATATTTTACTTACCTGGTCCTATTGCAAAGAAGACGACAAAGCTTAGTGTACTCACAACACTTATGTACGTAACCCACGTATAAAGGAACTACAAAAAAGTCAGGTATTCATTAAAAAACAAAGTCATTACTTTTTACCTATTTTTATCACAATCAAGTGCTACTAACAAATACTTGATCAAAGCCAACCTTTTTTTGATAGCATATATATAGCACACGTGTTTTGGAATAAGATAAATCACTCATTCCGTGGCAGCTTGCAGTATAAAATTATATATTATAGCTCACTATTGAAACTGAATGAATCCCCAGCTGACAAGGTATTGTAATATTTGATTGATATACAGACTTGCTTTAGCTGAATATACATCATATTAACCATTACAGGTGTTTGAAACATATTAAATAGAGGTTAAAGTCTTAGTATTAAACTTCTATCACTGGGCTAAATATAAATGTTTGTCTTGTTCTAATGTTTCATTGCTTCTTTCAAAACAAATTCAAATATAATAACGTAAATCTTTAGTGTTAAGTAGGAAAAAAAATACTAAAACGTTTCTTACCTTAACAAGTAATGAAATGGTGATGAAAATACTAAAAATGAACATTCCCCCAAGACCATAAATTTGTAATGTCCTTCTACCGGCATGGTCCATCAGAGGAATAGATACCAATGTCATGGCAACCATAACAAATCCAACTCCAATGGTGACGTACCTTGATGTTGTATCTGAAAGTCCTGCTTCTGTGAAGAGGTTGGTGGAGTAATAGAACACCTAGTGGAAATAAAAATTAAACAGTATTTTATAATAAATATATTATTTTGATATTAGAAGTTATTCATCTACATTACATTCAAAATCAAATGTTATCATAAATATTTAATCTCGTGAATAAATTTTCAAGTATTTTTATTTCCCATATTCCACTATCATGTTAGCACTATTTTTAAGCAAACAAAAACAACTAGAACTCACATCTACTTGTAACCTTAGGAACCAATAGTGTAAGGAAGAAAAGTATACCAGAAGTTAAATAACGATATACACTAAAGAAAAATTATTTGTACCCCCCTCCCAACCATCACCACCAAAAAGGAAATATTCAGTGTTTGTAATCAAACAAGTACTGATTATTCCTTTTTGGTGTGTTTGTAATTAAGCACAAAGCTACACAAGGGGCTATCGGAACAGGTATCGAAACACGGTTTCTAGCGTTGAAGTCCGCAGACATGCCGCTGTGCCACTGGGGGGGTCCCTTTTTTAGTGGCAAGTATATATCATTTTTTATGTGTAACATTATGTTTGTTTGTAATTAAGCACAAAGCTACACAATGGGCTATCTGTCCTATGCCCACCATGGGTATCGAAACCCGGATTCTAGCGTTGTAAGTTCGCAGACATACCGCTGTGCCACTGGGGAGCAGTAACATTATGATAACAAACTTTCTGCAGGAAGCTTCAAATGTATTTAAGTGAGAAAGGAAAAATGAATACATAAATATGCATTGACGAGGTAAGTAAATTTTCAAAGTTCTTTTACTTTTGATAGTTACAAATACTGATAGTGATTTATTTTATAATATTTTTAACCAATTTGGTACTGTGTGTGAAAATTTAATTCCAATGCGGCTCTAATATTCTCTAGAATTATTGTTTGAGATTTAGAAGAATAGTAAAAAGTTAAAACAAAGTTTAATAACAGTAAGAAAGTGGCTATCTTATACTGAAAATAATTTTTCCCTGAATGTTTTCTCCAAATTGATTTATATATATTGAGATTACTTTTTAAAATGAAAATTCATTAAAGTATAGGGCCTTACATGGCATAGTGGTTAGGACACTCGACTGCTAATCTGAGGATCACGGGTTCGAATACCGTCCTCGAACAAGCTCGCCCTTTCAGCTATGAAAGAATTATAATGTGACGGTCAATCCCACTATTTGTTGATAAAATATAGCCTAAGAGTTGGCAGCGTGATGTTGACTATCTACCTTCCCTCTAGTCTATCACTTCAAAATTAGGGGTGGCTAGTAGGCCTTAATTAGGCCTTTGAGTAGGTTTGCGGGAAACTCAAAATCAATAAAATTAAAGTACCATACAAATGCTTACCACACATATTTAAGCCTTTTTTATTTTCCTTTAAAAGCTACAAACCAAAACAACAAAACAAGAATTTCAACTTTATGAAATTTTAAACTGTGATTGGCCTTACTCGCACTAATTATTCGTAAAGCAACAAAACAATATTATCTTTGTTCATACCTAATTAATCACAAATCTATTATTCCTACCCTAATAAATGCTCATCCGGACAAAATTAGGTGGGCTCTAATATCCATTAAACCTTTTAGCTTGGGCTACAGTAATTTTCTGTTTTCTCCTGTCTTTCCTAGACTTTTCCTATAGAGTGTTTCTTCAAACTGTTATGTTTCGAATATTAATAGGAAAGTACTGATTGAATAAGTAACCAAAATTCCTACTTGTGCTTGAAATTTAGTATAATTCAACAAGGTGTTTCAGAACTGTGATACATACTGCACTGATGCCTGAGAATTGTTGTGACAACTGCATGACAATACCAATTAACAAAGGAAGGTGATGTGACTTGTTCCTGATCAGCTGCCACATGGTTATCTGGAAGGAAAAAAACAAATGGAACAATACTGAATATGTCCTGTAAACAACTTTTAAAAAATCTAACGTATGTCAGTGGTTTCCAAACTGTGTGAAAAAAATCTAACGTATGTCGGTGGTTTCCAAACTGTGTGAAAAAAATTTAACGTATGTCAGTGTTTACCAAACTGTGTGAAAAAAATCTAACGTATGTCAGTGGTTTCCAAACTGTGTGAGAAAATCTACCGTATGCCAGTGGTTTCCAAACTGTGTGAAAAAAATCTAATGTATTTCAGTGGTTTCCAAAGTGTGTGAAAAAATCTAACGTATGTCAGTGGTTTCCAAACTGCGTGAAAAAATCTAACGTATGTCAGTGGTTTCCAAACTGTGTGAAAAAAAAATCTAACGTATGTCAGTGGTTTCCAAACTGCGTGAAAAAAAAATCTACCGTATGTCAGTGGTTTCCAAACTGTGTGAAAAAAAATCTACCGCATGCCAGTGGTTTCCAAACTGTGTGAAAAAAAATCTAACGTTTGTCAGTGGTTTCCAAACTGTGTGTTGCGTGGGTTAGGGTGTCGTCAATGAAAAAGTTCTGGAAACCACTGACGTATGTATTAAATACAAGTATGTATACGTGCGTTCTGTTAGGAAGTTTCTAAAGTGTCTCAAGATGTTTGATTCAAACCTTCAACTATTAAAAACTTATAAAAACAATTGTAATGATCCAAAACTTTTATTAAAATCTCCCTTTGTTTTCAATACTTCTTTGCTTTTTACAGCCATAAATCAGATCACATCTGTTAAAAAACAAACCAGATGTTGTATCTGATCTCTCCATGAGTTATGGATTTTGAATACTGTCTACATTCTTTCAAAACCTACCTTTAGTTTACATGTAATCCCTCCCTGATTATTTGTGTATTATATCTGAAAGCAGTTTAAAAATATGTATGCAGATTTCTGTTGACTTTTAATATTTTTTTTAAACATCCAACTATAGATGTATTATGTTACACCATAATTAGACTATTTAGATTCTTACTTAATGACACGAACAAGGCTAAGGAAGGCACACTTGGCTCATATAATGATAATGTGGTATTCTCGGGTAAAACTGATTACCACCAAGAGTGACAAAATAAAATCCGCAGGAAGTTCTAAGGAATATATTATAAAGAAAATCCGAATTATCTGAGCCCAAGTTTAAGAAAGAAAGATACTGGGCACGAGGTAAGACACAAACAAACAATCTTTATTTAACAACACAATCAAACAATGTGTGTTTGTGGCCGGAGAAAGCTTTTTTTTTCTTGAAGTTGTAGTATCTTTAAAAATCTCCCTAGAAATCTAAAGAACTTATTTCAGACATCTATACTATTTTCTCCCAGAGTGCTTGAACTACTGGAGTGATTATTGGTCATTTCCATTGAAACATAAGGAAATCTATAGCCCAAGTCGTCACCTGGTCATCACCTTTCACACATAGTATGTACAACTTTGCAGAAACCTTTCCATCGGGAAGACAAATGTGATGCTTCAGGTTCATGACACAGCACTGAGCAATAGGTTGGTAGAGTGAAAGGAACTTAATATCTTTCTTCGCCAACATTCTATGTGAAAACCACATACATCAGAATAAATGCAACTTTATATTTATAAGAGAGAATAGGAAACACATGGTATGCCTGCATAACACAATAAGAAATGTCTTGACATGTTATCTCATTGCCTTATACGCCCTTCTCATAATTACAGGAGCGTCAATCGCTGCATGGTAAGTGGGGAGCATTAATAAACCTTTGATATATGTTCAATCACATTATGGAATTTGTACCCATGTAATGACTGAAATAGTCATGAATTTCACTCTTCCATAATTAGTATAGAATATATCTTTATTGAGGTATATACAAGTAATATTTTTCTAAATTCCCATGCAGTTTCTACATGTAATAAATTACATTCGTGTGCTAATTTTTTACACTTGAAATGGATACATAAAATGACTTTTGTTTTTAAGCCTCAACCTAGTATGTATGTGGACTTCTTGAAGAATACAGCCTATCGAAATAGCCTTGTAACTTAGATGAGGATTGGTATAATTTGAGCTTCTCCTGTACGTCACCATTGTCTCATTGGTCAATGTATCTGAGCATGAATGCCTTACCTTGGTGTTCTTCTTTAAGAAATATGATACCATCATTATCATAAATGGATGACATGTTTCTAGTTTCTATGTAACCCTTTAATGGTTCAGCAGTAAGTTTACAGACTTACAATGTTAAAATCCAAGGTTGGATTACCCATGGTGGACAGAACACAGGTAGCCTATTGTGTGGCTTTGTGCTCAAACAAACAAATAAACACATATTTCCTGTATATGTCTTACGCACCAGAATGAAGCACTTCTGAAACTGGCATTGCTGCATAGCGTATACCATTGTCACGATACATGCTTTGAAAGCTGACCACAGGCTCTATTATATGCAATAATTGCCTTCTCTGAGCAGGCTGTGCCTTAATACATATTTTCCAGGCTTTATCAGTATTACTGTTTTGACAGTATAGGTTGTTCCTATTGTAGAAGTTGTTTGTTTGTCTTTATCTTTGGTGGAGAGATTGTTCAGGGTATGAGGGCTTCCCAAAAGCTTGACACACTTGTATGTGTTTCTAGATTGACGGTGGAGAGATTGTTCAAGGTATGAGGGCTTCTCAAAAGCTTCACACACTTGTATGTGTTTCTAGATTGATGGTGGAGAGATTGTTCAGGGTATGAGGGCTTCCCAAAAGCTTGACACACTTGTCTGTGTTTCTAAATTGACGGTGGAGAGATTGTTCAAGGTATGAGGGTTTCCCAAAAGCTTGACACACTTGTATGTGTTTCTATATTGTTTTACACTACTTGGTATTCCAATCTTCACACACACATATCATGTCAGACATAAATGACACTCTGTCATCTTGAAGCTCATGGATTCTTGTTGGTTCACAGTCGTTAGCTATATTGTAGGAAAGAGAATGTAAACCTTTTTCATTAATAATTTCAACTGCTTTCCAGGAGGAATGCTTGGCAAGTCTTTTTCTGCTAGAAACAAAAGAATGTTGTTAAAGAAGTCAGTCAAGAACCTCTAATATACAGGATGCTACCTTTCTTGTACACATTGGTGAGTTGGATTTGGGTGGGTAACACTGAGTGAGATCCACTCGATTGTTCCACTGTGAGCTGTCATAAACTTCATAGCAGACGCTACTGTCATGTCAAGCTGAAGTGGCTGTCCCAGCCTCTGGGTCAATATGTGGTATGAAGTTAAAGCCAGTGACATAGAACTCCCCAGGGTGTTAGTATGATGTCATAAAATTCCGAGAGTTTCTCAGGGCAGTACTTGTCCACCGCCAATCTCCTTGAAATTGCAGAAACATATCTTGATTCCTTTTCTTCTTATTATTCTCCTGCACAGTTGAGGTCCTTTACTGAGTGCAAGATTTCTGTTACTTTCATGGGGATATGTCTTGGCACTATTGTGTAAAGTATTAATGTTTCTGGGCAAAAGATTAATCACTCACTGTTCAGAAGTCTTGTTCCTAGTCTTATCCACCATAACAAAATGGGCGAGTGACGGCAGGCAAGTAGCCTATTAAAATGGAGCTGCCATTCTTGTGGTGGGTGCACATTGGACAATAGGGTATAAATATATCCTCCTACTTTCGATGACGAGGAACCCACTTTGAGACTAATAATGGCTGGAGACGGCTTGAATGGGTAATGAAGAAAAACTTTAATATAAGTTCAACATAACAGCAAATGTACAACGTTTCGACAAGGGTTTGTCATCATCAGGTATCCATTCAAGCCGTCTCCAACCATTATTAATATCCTCCTACTGTCGAGAATCTTCCCTGGTACAGGACTTCAAATCAATCACGCTCATTTATTTTCAATAACTGGGCATCTCATTCAACCCTCTAGTAACACAGTGTGTCAAAATATCGACTTCACCTGATGATCCGTGTAGAGATTGGAACAAAATTATAAACGTTTAGTGTGGTGATATAGTACTAGAAGAAACGATGTTTGTGAACACTTTTGTTACAGTTACAGTCCCAATGATTTTATGATAAGAAATGTTTTTCGTGGAACAAGATGAGTTAGACTTAGCTAACTCATTTTGAACTTGACCATATCAAATTATGTTTCACTAACAAAGTTGCTGTTGTGTTAGACCTTGTTTCGTGTACTTTTATCTTTCATTATTATTTTGAGTTGTGTTTTTATCTTTGTTTTTAGCCTCTCCCCCAGTAGCACAGCGGAAAGTCTACAAACTTATAACTCTAAAAGTCAGGTTTCAATACCCATGGCCTATTGTGAAGCTTTGTGCTTAACTACAAACAAACAAAATCTTTCTATTTACCGGCAACTGGAATTTTATGTTGAACAGAGTTGTTTAAACAGTTGTTTAACAACAAGTAAGAGCTTGGAATGGTCTATTCTTTCATTGGGGGTGTGTCTGTGAACCAGACTAGTTTCGGATAATTCCACTTCTCATCAGTAACCCTGGACACTTCCACCACTGAAATATCAGACCAAACCAAGGCTTTATAGTAGTGAGGTATCAAAAATCTAAATGGTGTATTTAAGTGTTTTACACTCACAAATTTTATGTATTAATATTTCTTGTGTGTATTCAGGTGTTGTGGTGTCGTGAATGTTACCCGAGGGAAGCATCTAATACATTTTGTGATCAGTAATTACTCTTTTTATTCGGCCATCAAAGTTAATTTTCAATCTGTAGGCATGGTCATATCTAAGATAAAGAAATTGGGGTCATATATTTCACCATTCTATAAGTAGTATACAACATATCTTTATTAAGTGATATTCATATGATACTTTTCTTACTTTCTGTGCAGTTTCTACACACAATTAATCACAGATGCCTAATCTTTTATGGGCATAAACGAGTGCTAATCCTATTACGTAGGTAAATAATATGTACTGAAACCTTTGTTTTTAAGTCTCAATTAATTAAAAACTAGTGTATGTGTTTCTGTACGGACTCCTTGAAAGGTTACCAATTCAAACAGGAAATACAGAAATGTGTATAACTGGCTTGGCCTAAGATTGCATGTAGACCATTGGTTGGAGTACGTATCCTGTGTGGACTTGTGGGATACCTTCGCCTGACTTTCTTTGTTTCACTAGAGCATTTAAGTCGAGTAACTCTAGAAATCTGTCTCTTGTTCTTGACACCTAAACGCTCTTGGTCTTCGACTGTCTTTCGTTTTGAGGGTTTATGACCCCCGCAGCCAAATGATATAGAAGACGAATTCCAACTAGTTTTGGTAAGAGAACAATGTTTTTGCTTAATAAAGAAATGCCGTGTTTACTAGCTTTCATCTTCTGTTTGTGTTCAATTTATTCTTCGCTTAACAGTCGTGACCTTGCATTTTGTGTGATTTTTTAGCTTTAATGCGGGACCTGAATTCCACACACGAACCTTTAGTACCAGGTTTTTATGTTGTAAGCCTGCTGAACAGTTATTGTTGTTGAATTTCAAAATTATCCTGTATTTACAAAATAAAAACTGAGAAAGAATCTTGAAATTATTATGATGAAAAAAACACTAGTACTGAAAAACGAAAGTTATCTTTACAATGTTCATTAAGTTTACCTCTACTTCATGTTGGTGAGCCCGCTCCTCTGCTTTCATTTCTTCTATATCATCTTCTATTTGACTTGAGCTCCTTAACCTTTGTAAGGCTGCCATATGAATATAACATATCAGTTAACTGTTTCTAGCTTATCTAAACTTACCACACTAATTATTATACAATATAACATATCAATTAACTGTTTCTAGCTTATCTAAACTTACCACACTAATTATTACACAATATAACATATCAGTTAACTGTTTCTAGCTTATCTAAACTTACCACACTAATTATTACACAATATAACATATCAATTAACTGTTTCTAGCTTATCTAAACTTACCACACTAATTATTATACAATATAACATATCAATTAACTGTTTCTAGCTTATCTAAACTTACCACACTAATTATTATACAATATAACATATCAATTAACTGTTTCTAGCTTATCTAAACTTACCACACTAATTATTACACAAATAGTTTCTTAAGTTTTAAATTACACAAGTAAAATACAAGCTTGTTAATCAATACACATATTCTTAATATATTTTTAAAATTGTCATAAATACATATCTTTTAATTTCTAAAGTCCTCATGCAGATACAAAATAATGTTGGAGGTCATTTATGTAAGTCTAATAATAATATTTAAAGTAACCATATATATATATATATATATATATACAGTACAGATATAGACAATTCCTTAATTTTTAAACTTTTGTGACTTATACCAAAAATAAAAAAGACTAAAATTACACATTTTTCCCGATTTCATAAAACAAAAATTGTCATTCGAGTCACCGAAAGAACAGATAATCTTCATTCAAGTAGGGCAACACCTTACAAACTACAAATATGACTGAATAAGAATCGTCAACATCTGCAAATCCAGCAATGAACAAAAACACTTCAATTCCAGCTTAAGCGTAAGTGGTGGGCCAGCAGTAAGTTTAAGGACTAAAACATAGGATTCGATTACCTGTGGTAGACAGAGCCTAGATAGCTCATTATGTATCTTAGTGCAACCAGCTTAAACACCAGTAGAAAAACAAAACATTGCGAATTAATGCTAGGCACCCGAAGACAAAGAAAGGATCCTTAATTCCAGGGAGGCATAAATATATCTCTCAGCAAACTAACATGCAGGTGTGTGCAATAGTTTGAAGTGTTTACATTGAGCATCACGCTCAAGCAAAAGAAGAATCCAGCAGCAATGGCAACTGCTGCAAGGACCCTGCTCCAAAACAGTGTCCAGAACCTAAAAAGGTCCCATTTTCTCACCAAAGATACATCAACCTGTTGCACCACTAACTTTACTGCAGCTAACTGTATAATGCATGCAATTACCCATTTTTAAATACGTTCTGAATTCTAGCTGAGAAACTAGTAGATCTAAACATATCGAACTCTAGCTGATGCACCTGGATAGAAACCAAAGTGTTTCATATTTCAACTGAGACACTTATGGTGGTTTGTTGTTTGTAGTAAGTAGTCCAGAAGAGAGCTTGCTTTATTGGTTCCACCTTGGTCCAGAGGCCCGCCATGACCAGGTGGTTAGGGCGCTCGACTCGCAATCTGCGGGTCGCGGGTTCGAATCCCCGTCCCACCAAACATGCTCGCCCCTTTCAGCCGTGGGGGCGTTATAATGTGACGGTCAATCCCATTATTCGTTGGTAAAAGAGTAGCCCAAGAATTGGTGGTGGGTGGTGATAACTAGTTGCCTTCCCTCTAGTCTTACACTGCTAAATTAGGGATGGCTAGCGCAGATAGCCCTCGTGAAGCTTTGCGCGAAATTCAGAACAAACAAACATCCACCTTGGTCCTTGTACTACTTTTGGGAAGCTTGAATGCTCCACCAGCTGTACAAATTATAGTTGCTCCACAAGATGATGAATGCACAACCATGGTTTTTAAGTAGGTACTGAAAGACTTTTTATGCATCATCGTATGCCCAGTCTCTATACTTTCTGTCTAGACTGATTTCCAAAGATCCCAGTGATATCAGATGTTTATTTCAAATGGGGAGATTAGAGATCGAGTAATGAAAAGTTATCTCAGTGGTGGATGTATAGCACCTGTCCATCCATAATTATCTTCTGATGTGCCTTTAAGGCAATACCCTGTTTGGATGGTCTTTGTGGAATTAGAATGTGCCACTTATTTGTTAGTACTGTTGGTGTTCTGCAATGCTGCCAAGGTCTATGAAGTGTAATATAACTTTGGTGGAAGTGGCTAAATTAGATCACGTGACCAGTATGAAACTGATGATTTGTAACTTTTAAATCTTATTTAGCTGTGTAGTACTCACTGATCAGCTGTAGTGCATAATCTAGGATGAAGTGAATAGGACTTTGGTAGCGTATAAGAAGGTGACGTTCTTCAATTCTATTTCCTGCTGCAACTTTTAGTGCATTGGTTTTTAGGTAGCTCTGGTTAACATTGTGTTAATTTTGTGAAATTGAATTGTCTATTAAAGGTTACACTGAGGTACTTTAGTGTTTATTCCAGAAGGAAAGCAGTGCCCAGAATGAATGGTGATGGATCGTCTTCAGTAGCATGTCTGTTGTTGAGTGTGCAGAACATGGCTGAGGCTTTGGCAGGACTGTTGACCATTCCTCTGTCATTACACCATTTAATCACCGTGCTATAAATAATGGTTGCATTTTGTTTTTGATTTCAGCAAAGTTTAGCACTCAGCATCTGGTTGGACTGTCAAGGTGGACTAGATCCATGATGTAGATGCTGAAAATGACTTGCAAGAGTGCATATCTTTGAGGTATACCAGTGGTGATCCAATTTGACTTCCAACTTCTATGCTCCATGATGCATCTTCTGGTCTTTAGTGCTGTTACGGTCCATTTTACACATGTTACTCTGATATCTATTCTGAGCAGTGGGAATGGGCAGTTGGATCTGAAGCTACTGTCAAGTTGTTCTTACCAGCTTCAAATATGTTCTTTGAACGAGCTGCTAATACAGCATGATTAATTCAGTTTCTTTTCCTCTGTAATGTCGCCTGATGATGATGGTAATAATGGTTAAATCTGATAGGTAATCCTTCCAGCTACAGCCTTCTCGTGGCTATAGTGTGAAGAGTAATCTTTTCCTTGAACGAGTTGCTAATACAGCATGATTAAGTCAGGATTCTTTTCCTCTGTAATGTCGCCTGATGATGATGGTAATAATGGTTAAATCTGATAAGTAATCCTTCCAGCTACAGCCTTCTCGTGGCTATAGTGTGGAGAGTAATATTTTCCTTGAACGAGCTGCTAATACAGCATGTTTAATTCAGGTTTCTTTTCCTCTGTAATGTCGCCTAATGATGATGGTAGTAATGGTTAAATCTGATAGGTAATCCTTCCAGCTACAGCCTTCTCGTGGCTATAGTGTGGAGAGTAATCTTTTCCTTGAACGAGTTGCTAATACAGCATGATTAAGTCAGGATACCTAACAGAATATAATAAATCAATATGCACTTTATTTATTAACACTAAAAACGCTTAAAACAAAGTATATATATTCTATATCACAAATTATCTTTTTATGAAATTAGAAACAATAATTTTATTAAAATTACTCAACAAATGATCCCAAGTATTACAGAACAGAATAACCTGTAACTCAGAAATAAATAATTAAACTAACCCTCCCTTGCATGTGATTCTTGTTGTTTAGAAATGAGCAAATATCTGGGACTTTCAGGACAAAGTGGTAACAAACAAAGTTGAAGTATGGCTGGAATCACTGCTATTCCTATAAAACAAAAATGCATACATATATATATCTGTGTATGCAGCTATATGTAAATAATAATTTTTGACATGATGTAGAACGAAAAAAATAATTGATATTTATGCACTTTTTCTTTATAATTCAACAGTCATAAGCAATATTCTTCTTTAAAACACTTCATAAATTTCTAAAATAATAATATCATTAGATTTAAGCACTGTTGTACAGAAATATTGCTGTGGGAAACGGACATGTCTTTTCGAACATTGTCTCATTTAAAAGTGTGAATCCCATGAAAAGTAGTTGGTTGAAAGTCATATTTTTATTTTATTTTAATCGTTGTTTTAACACGATTTTTCAACTGTTAAGTCTTGCCCTTTATTTGCAGTGTCTAATTCTGAGATTTAGAGTGTTATAACAAACTAGACTTCATTATACTTTATAAAAAAACATAGAAAATCCTAAAATGTTTTCTCATTTTACCATAAAAAATAGCTTGATCAGTCTTGTCTTAAATTGATCTGAAACTTATATCATATGTTTAATAAATTTTTAGTTAATATTTACACGTGTCTGTGCGTATACCTTGAATACTTAGAGGTTTTAATTTCTTTGTTGTTAAGCACAAAGATACGAAGTCGGTTATCTGTACTCTACTGACCGTGAGTATGAACCCGATTTTTAGCATTATAAACCCACAGACTTAACGCTGAATCACCAGGGCCAATTTATGTTTCATCTGATATTTCACTTTATAGATGCATTAAAGTAGTCATGAGGTTATTTATAAAACAAAAATATTTAAGTCAGCAAGAAAGTATCGATAAAGATACTTTTAAAACCGAATTTAACGTCCTATAAAATAAAATATAAATGTTTTAACTGGACCGTTATGATTAGTTAGTTTCAAGGTTTAAGTTTCAAAGAGAAAAAGATTAAGTGCTTACTTAAATTACTTCACTGGTAATTACTTCATAGGTAAAACATTAACATCAGAGCAAAAATCAATAATCATTCTATTGGTAGTATGAAAATACATCTTAGAAATAAGAAGTGGTGATGAGATGTTGCCACATCATAAGTGTGAATGTGGATTATTTCGATAAACGAAACTGTCATGTTTAGCTAAACCTCCCAACGTGAAGTCAACATAGAAGTTTGTGCAGAATGTTTACAAACAAACAAAAGCATTTCTGTTCAAATGTTGTATGTTTATACTGTGAACCATGGTTTTTCCATGCTGCTAAACGTAACACCTTCAAATTATCAACTTGTTTTTATGATGTTTTCTACTGGTGATGTTCACATATTGCATGATATTGAGAAGCTAATTTTGGTTCTGCGAGCTACAAAACTTAGTGTAAGGAACTGACCAAGACAAATTTGGAAAAATAACTCATTTTCTATGTAAAATAACAAGGGAACCTAGCAGTAATTAGTGAGATTAACTCCAATATTGATGGTATTTCTGTTCATATAGCTCTTGTGTGACTCGTATGTTATTAGAAACTATATAACCGACAAAGTAATAGGCCCACATGCAATATGGGGCAATGTTTAGAAAGATGTGGTGCGAAGACATCGCTATGGTTAATTACACCTAAAACACAAATCTGTATTCCCAAATTTTTCTTTCTCCTTCTCAAACTGTCCTCGCATAAAATCAACCCTAATCTTTATACAATCTACAGACAAAAAAAAATGACAAAACTTTAAATCTCTCCTCTTCGCTAAACCAAACCCCAATCTACATTCTCTGAACTCGTTCTGGCATGTTACTGTTCTTCCTGTAGAAAAGAGCTAAAAGTGTGCAAAATGCCCCAAATGAGGCCTCGTCAGCACACAATAACCTTCTTAGTTTATTTTTTTTTAATCATAAACAGAACTAAGAGCTCTGTTTTTAATTTCATCACGTCGAAACATTCAGCTGAAATTTTGAGAATTTTATCAATTATCACACTTAAATCATTCTTATTTTTCCTACAACACTATGATCCGTCAACTCCACAAGTTCTTTCCAAATTACATTATCAAAAATACCTAACATTACATTTCTCTACATTGTTACTCAGTCACTGTTACAAAGGGCCCAGCTCTTGACTCGCAATCTGAGGGTCGTGGGTTCGATTCTCCGTCCCATCAAACATGCTCACCCTTTTAGCCGTGGGGCGTTATATAGTTACGGTCAATCCCACTATTCGTTGGTAAAATAGTAGCCCCAGAGTTGGTGGTGGGTAGTGATGACCAACTGCCTTCCCTCTAGTCTTACACTGCTAAATTATGGACGGTTAGCACAGATAGCCCTCGTGTGGCTTTGCGCGAAATTGAAAACAAATAAACAAACACTGTTACAATTCTATTAAATAAGAGAAACATTCTCAACAGAATCAGCTCTTCTGACCATCTTAATGTCATCAGTAAATGTTGAAATGTTACTGTCCAAGAAGTTTAGTTTTATATCCAAGTCACAAATTGACACAAATAACAGTGTCAGGACAAGTAACAGAGAGACTACATTAGTTCCATTCTCCTATAGGGAAACTAGCTATTTATTATCACTATTTGTCTTTTTCTTTTTTTAACCAATATTAAGTTTTTAACTGTTTACTAGTTTATAACATCCTAATTTTCAATTAACATGTGCAATACCTTATCATCACACTTATGAGTGTCAAAATACACAATAGAAGTGTTCTCATCCCAAAACATTAAAAAAACGTTTTAAAAACACAGTAAGTTGGTAACATAATAAAACTCTTTTCTAAAATCAAGGTTAAATTATTTCTTTAAATACAAATCTTCCAAAGCTTTACTAAATTGCTATCGACAAAATAATCAAATTTCTTGCCAGGCGTATAATTTAAATTTAAAAGTTTATTATTTCACAGATCATTCCTCAATCCTCCTTAGTTTTTGAAATATGGAACACATTAACAATCTATCATAAGGAATTTTCAATGTCAAGACTTTGAAAAATAACACTTAATGATCAGTAGACTCTCTTCTGAGCTTCTTAAAAGTTTTAGGACAAATTGAGTTCGGATCAAAAGTTCCCTAAACTTTTCTAAAAACTGTTTTTTTTTTCAGTAGAAATTGAATTAAAAGACGAAAGTTATGAACCTGAATATTAAGTATTAAAATATTAAGTATAAAACCCAAATCCACAGAAAAAAAAACAAATTCTGAATAAGTTATCAACTTGTAGAATAGTACAACTGATAAATCCATTTACACTTTTGGTTGAAGATGTATAGAACCAAAAGGCTAAACTTAAATCTTTTGTGTGGTTGTTTTTTGTGAGTGGGAGGAGAAGTAACATCAATGGAAATATTGACCTTCTGTGACGTGGAGGAGAAGAAACATCAATGGAAATATTGACCTTCTGTGACGTGGAGGAGGAGAAACATCAATGGAAATATTGACCTTCTGTCACTTTGTGTTCTTATGTGCAATGATACTTTAAAGAATAATCTTACTTACTATGTTATGGGTTTGAAACAAGTAAATGTATAAAATATGAAAACATGTCATTAAACACCTAAAAAACGTTGATGAAAAGCACACACATTAATCTTTTAGTCGAGTCCAGATTTACCTAATAGGTATGGCCACCCCGTGGAAGTGCCCAAAAAGAACTGAATCCCAAATACTTGGGAGAGGAAGAGCCCTACTGTCAAAGCTAGCTGATTAAGAGTACCTGTAAAATATCAATTACATATGAAGGTAAAAAAATAATTAATCAAATACCCTTCTATTAGTCGGTTTTCTCCAAACATGTAGACAACGTTTTAGTTACCATAAGATACAGAACATTTCTGTTTAGAGTTTTTAAGTTTTAATCAATACTCAACAACCAAAAGAGAATTAAAAATGTAAAACGTGCAAATATTAATAGATAAAGAAAATAATTTTCAGCCAACAGATTAAAAACCGTTTCAACATATATTATATTAGTTTTTATATGGGATACTGACGTCTCAAAACAAACATATGTACTAAAAATTTCACATCAGTTGTTATTATATCTATCATGCTTTCTCAAACACATTCATTGATTACTTACATTTAAAGTGATAATTAATACATAATCAACTTATATTGACGGTAATGTTAAGTTAATTTATAGGCCTTTGATATTATTCATATACACTTGTTGAACAGATTGCTTAGTCAAAGCAGGATAATCTGCTACTTTTATAACAACATTGAATCACAATCGGTATGATCTGTTCTCCATTTATATGAACACATGTAGAGTAGTATGAAAATGTTAACATTCCTATGCACAAAGATAAGCTCTATAAATACGTTTGCCTATAAAGTAAGGCGACAACTACTATTCCGAGGCAATGCTCTATTTTCGATATTTAATTGTAAGAGAGACAGGCTGATTATAGTTTCGTGAACTATATTTTATTTAAACATTTCTATTGTTTGATAGAGGAAAATTTTGAATGAAGTATAATGACGTGTGACAATTAGAAATTTCCTGAATGTCTAGATTTAACTTGATGTGCACGTGACAGTTCAATTCTCTAGATACTTGTGGGAAATGCTGTAATACCATAAACTCACGAGAGTTGCTGTTGACTAGTTAGTCAGTGAGTTCTCAATTAGTCAATGAATGAATTAATTAGTCAGTTAGTTAGTGAGTGAATCTGTTACCGTGTTGTCAAATTATTACAGACTTGGTGAGTGTGTTTATCACCAAGTTTTGAGTTTAAACCATAGATAAGACAGGGAATTTAACAAGTAAGTGACTGTTAGTTTTATTTTTGAGTTAGGTCTACCAATCGGTGAGCTTGTAAAACTTTAGGTAAAATAAATAAAATGCCTTCCTTTTCATTAACTGGATTGAACTTTGTATTATGTTCACTGAATAATAAAAAAGAGCCATTCCAATGGTACAGACCGCTACAAAACCTTAACCTCACTAAACTCTTTATCAAAGGACAAAACCTTAACTTCAGTGAACTCTTTATCAAAGGACAAAACCTTAACTTCAGTAAACTCTTTATCAAAGGACAAAACCTTAACTTCAGTAAACTCTTTATCAAAGGACAAAACCTTAACTTCAGTAAATTCTTTATCAAAGGACATAACTTTAACTTCAGTAAACTCTTTATGACAGGACAAAACCTTAACTTCAGTAAATTCTTTATCAAAGGACAAAACCTTAACTTCAGTAAATTCTTTATCAAAGGACATAACTTTAACTTCAGTAAACTCTTTATCAAAGGACAAAACCTTAACTTCAGTAAATTCTTTATCAAAGGACAAAACCTTAACTTCAGTAAACTCTTTATCAAAGGACAAAACCTTAACTTCAGTAAACTCTTTATCAATGGACAAAACCTTAACTTCAGTAAACTCTTTATCAAAGGACAAAACCTTAACTTCAGTAAATTCTTTATCAAAGGACAAAACCTTAACTTCAGTAAATTCTTTATCAAAGGACAAAACCTTAACTTCAGTAAACTCTTTATCAAAGGACAAAACCTTAACTTCAGTAAACTCTTTATCAAAGGACAAAACCTTAACTTCAGTAAACTCTTTATCAAAGGACAAAACCCTAACTTCAGTAAACGTACAATTATATTTATTGTAATTTTTTTCTTATTCAGTTATAGTGGACTTCTATTACACTGTTTCTTAATGGAATCTTGATACATGACAGTTTCGAACTAGTGTACACTTCGGTGGTTCGGGTTATTAAAAAAGTGCTTTATTAGCAATTGTTTATGTGTCAGTTATTTAGTTCAGCTGGCAAAGTACTCGCCTAGCGCTCGGGAGATTTCGACTTCGATCTGAAGAAATAAAAGGTCAACTACCCCAGTAAAACTGGTTTCCAACGTGGGGCTGTCTGAGGATCCTGTGATAAGGACTGAAGATGGGTTACCTTTGTGAGAGGGGAAGAATGTAGTAGTTTGAGTTGCTAGTGGATTAATCCTCTAGCTCAGTTAGTAGAGCACTAATCCAGTGCATAACTTGTCATGGATTAATCCTCTAGCTCAGTTAGTAGAGCACTAATCCAGTACATACCTTGTCCTGGATTAATCCTCTAGCTCAGTTAGTAGAGCACTAATCCAGTACATACCTTGTCCTGGATTAATCCTCTAGCTCAGTTAGTAGAGCACTAATCCAGTACATACCTTGTCCTGGATTAATCCTCTAGCTCAGTTAGTAGAGCACTAATCCAGTGCATAACTTGTCCTGGATTAATCCTCCAGCTCAGTTAGTAGAGCACTAATCCAGTGCATAACTTGTCCTGAATCTCACCCAGAACTCAGGAGATACAAAAACATGGATTATCACAAAACATTTGGGTACTAGCCTGCCGGCCTGGCCTTGACTGGCAGGCAAATAAGGCCAAATGACTAAAAGTTTCATATTAATGTTACTTTCAATATAATCGACTGTCTAGCACTTTACATAGCACTTACATGCTTTACTGTCTCTTACTGACCAGCAAATTGTGTTCATATAACAGAAATACACCATAAGATAACCAACTTAAAATCAAACCAAACTTCTATTAAATACATGAAATTAGGGTTTAAAGAGGTACTTCACATCTTTGCAGTTAAAAAAAAGAACGACAAAAATCAAGTTTTTCTAAATCTAAACCGTTCGAAGTAAGACACAAATGGACCTATCAAAGTTATAGTTTACTAGAACATATTATTTATGTAATTTTCTGTACATATATGTTTACTAATGATAATGGTGGCAGAGGTCCCGCCACAGACCGCATTTTAAAATCTTGCCAACAGCAGCAAAATACCTAATAACAACCGTGATTATAAGAGGAAGGGGGGATGATGTGATAGTTTGAGTTGTTAAAAGCGCTTAATTAGCTATCGCTAGTAAGATAACCCTTGAACTGAGCTTGTAGAGCATTCGCTCCGTATGCGAGAGGTCTCGAGTTTGACTCCAGCCGGAGAAAAAACAGTTAATAAGCTTTCATTTAAAGTTCACCGCCTAATAATACTAGGTAAGCTTGGTGGAACGTAGTGCTGTAGAACATGTTTACTTTTTTTTAACTCTAAATAAAACATTTTTAGATTGATAAGCTCTTTTTATATGTTCCTCCGATGGCTCAGTGGTAAGTCTGAAGAGAGTTTATAACGCTAAAAACTGGGTTTCGATGCTATCTGTGGCACATCACAGATAGGTCATTGTGTAGCTTTGTGCTTAATAAGAAAACGAAACAAGACTTTCTACAAGAGATTCAAGTTTTAATTCCTGTAACGGCTAAATTAATTAATAAGTACTTAATGAGCTGTTTCTCGAAAAAAATCGAATTTAAATTATGACTCAGCTTTATTTTATGAAGAATAAAAACTAGTTTTTTATTTCGACGGTAATATACTGGTAAGGTGACCAAATTTAATTAGTAGAAAGTCTTGTTTCGTTCGAAACAGAGTAATCAGGCAAGCCAAATACGAAAAACTCTTGTCTAGTTCAGATTCAGTGTCGATTTCAAGCTATTTTTGTGTTGATTTTGAACCTTTGCTGTTACAACCCTACTGCTTCTGTTTATTTCTGATATTCGCTCGAAGCTACCCAAAAGTTATCTGCACTAACAGTTCCTAATTTTGAACTTATGGAACATAGGTAAGGCAGCTAGCTAATCAGTTTTCACCACCGCCTCTCGTAGAACAGTGGGATTCGACTGTCACTCTTATAACGCATTCACGATCGCAAATTGCGAAGTTCGATTTTATGTCATCAGAATGCAAACCTAGCAGTAACCCTCGGTTTCACAATTTGGGACTCTAACTACAGGCCACGCCCGTCCCACCGCTTCTGTCTATCTAAGACTTAGCGTGATCTAATCACACCGCTAAGAACAAGATAAACCGTCCAGGTTTTATCTGTATCTAGAATAGATAATATGTATTTGCAATATAATGTACTGGCTGCGTTGATTTTTCGATTTTCTTTACTTTTACAGCAAAAATGGTAAGTATAATTTACTGTGAAATGATTTTTGAGATTGCCGGGTACAAGCTTAAAGGCTTCGACAAATATTGTGTACGTTACAAAGAAAAGTCTTTTTAATTTCTCAGAACTTACAATGAGGCCTAATATACAGTCAGATTTTCATATTCTCTAGGCTTAACCGGGAATGGTAGTTATAAATATCAGCAAACGCTCAAAATAATTATCATACTTCAGAATGATACAACATGCATATCTTTTATTCACTAAAAAATATTTTAGAAAATTCAAATAAACTGTGTGGCTATTTGTGAAGTTGAAATAGAAGTCTTCTGAATAACAAGGAAAAAAATTTTTTTGTTATTTTCTTAGCGCGAAGTTACACAATTCTGTTCACTGTGGGTAATCGAGCCCCCCCGGATTTTAGCATTGTAAGTTCTTAAACTTTCCGATGACACGCCATTGGGAAAACAAATTATACTTATTAAGATGTAATTGTTTTATTCATTTATTTATTTCAGTATTTGTTCGAAATAAAGTTATTTTTCTGATGTAATAATATTTGTTTGTTTGTTTCATTGTAATATCTGCGCCCTCTCCACCACGGGTAATTAAATGCTGGACTTTAGCGTTGTAGGTCAATATACTTACCGCTGACTCATCGGAGGACTTGATGTAACAACGGAATAATTCATAATAAAGCCACTATTGCTATAAATACATATATTAACTTTTGTCTTTCGGAAAGTACATTAATCCTAAAAAACGCTTATACAGCTAGTAAATATTCGAACAGGTTTTAGAAGTGCAAGAATATATATTAATATTCATCGCGAAAGATGCGTCTTTCTCAGTAATGCAAAATATTATTTAAAATTGCAAAACAATTTCTCCCAAGCAATGGATTTGCAATTCTCATTTTAATTTATACCTCTATAAAAGAGTACTAATTATCATTCGTAATTGCTAAATTTACAAGTTACTAATATAAAAAACAAAATAAACTTACCTAATCTACCTCTTAATGTAAGTGGTGAAATCTCCGAAAGATACATTGGCACTAGGGCAGTGTTCAGGCCTAAATGTCACAAAGCACAGAATGTTTAAAATATATGATATGACTCGCTAAAAATTACATATAATCAACTACATAAATGAAACCAAATTTATTAAGAATGATCTTATTTTAGGAATATATGAGCGAAAAAATAAGTTTTACAAATTTAATTTTAAAAAATCACAAATTATATGGATATCGGTATGAAAATGTGTTGGCTGTGTATCGAATCAAATGTGATAGGTCTTACATCGGAGAGACTAACAAACAGCTTTCAACAAGATTGAAAGAACATTTTAATGAATTAGCATGGATTTTAACACATGGTTAAATGTAGTTACTATGAATTTTTAAGTGCCACGATTACTCACAAGGAAAACAATATAAGTCATAGAAAAATTTTAAAAGCTCTCTTTAGTAAAAAATAAAAACACTACCGTAGGAAGCAATTTTGGAGTGGTCAAGGTACTGCCACATTGCCATTTCTACGAGGGTCTGGGGACATGCCCCCCAAACGTTTTTTTGAAAATTTAATGCTATGAGATTGAATCTTGAGCCATTTTAACTACAAAAACTGCATACACCCAACGTAATATATTGAAATAAAAGAAGCAAGTTTTAATACATAAGTTATAGCTATACATGCCATGAAAAAGTAGTCAGGCCATGGCCTGACTGGCCTCACCGCTTCCTACGGTCCTGGAAAAAACTGACATTAGTATATGTTCAGGTGTACAATTATATCTGTTTTAACTATTTCCTTAATCAGCTTTTGCGGATTTGTATTACGCTATCGTTTAATTACGTAATATTAGCAGCAAAATTGAAGCACGTGAAAATTTGAACTGTTGTATACTTCCATTCAAAGCTGATACTATGTAAACCTAATTAAACGTATTGTGTTTTTTAAGACGTTTACTTGTCTCTAGTTCCATAAAACTGTGTTTAAAAATTGTTGAAACTTTATTATTACTTACACTCAAAGACATTTATTAATATATACTATAGAAATAATTCTACGCTCTATGTAATAATTAACGTTGATCTAAATCGTATCGCTAGATGTGTTATCATTAAAAGACCAAAGATACGTCACCCAATATATTATCATAAAACGATTATTAAGCTTTGTATTTTTATGAAAGCTAAAAATCTCCTTAATTCAAAATTTAAACTATTTAACATTGGAAAGAAAAAAAACCCAGAAGAACGGGTTGCAAGTAATGTAAAATAACTCTCTCTCTCTCTCTCCCCTTTTTTTAAATTGAATGTTTTATAATTTCTCAACACTATTCATTGTATTTTGATGTTAGTAATTGTACTAAAGACTATTCAATTTGTTAGTTTTATAGATTTGCTGAAGATGAAATATGTGTAATTCTGAAACGTTCATGTTTATAATTGTTGCTATTCATTATTAAACTTCGCTTTTCACCAAATATATTGTTAAGTATCTGCTCGTTTGTTAATTTCCCGTATAAATTCTTTCCGAGGAACTTCAGCGACACA